TCCTGGCCGGGGGCAGTCAGTGTGCCACCAAGACACTCAGATCACCAAAGGTATTGTTATTGTCTTAAGTCCAATAGCTTCACTGTCATGTCATTGCAAATAGAGAAAGTGTAACCCATCCAGGTGTCATTCCCATTATTGTTTCCTCTTACCAGAAAACTCGAATACAATTTTATTTATGTATTTAGAGTCGGGTTCTCATTATGTTACCCAGACTAGAGTACAGTGGCGTGCTCACCATCACCATAGCCTCAACCTACTAGGTGTGAGCCACTACGCCCAGCCACAATTTTAAATAGTGTAGATAGCAGACATTCTTTACTTGTTCCAGTGGGAATGCTTTTAGTATTTTCTCATTCATTTAGATGCTCACTTTAGGGTTGAGGTTTATATATTTTATCATATTAAAGAAGTATCTGACTGGGCGCAGTATCTCACTCATATAATCCCAGCACTTTGGGAGGCTGAGATGAGAGAATTGCCTGAGCCCATGGGTTTGAGACCAGTCTGGGCAACTTGGCAAGTCCTTATCTCTACAATAAATCACAAAATTTAGCTGGGCATGGTGGTGCGTGCCTGTAGTTCCAGCTATTTGGAAGACTTGAGGCGGAAAGATCACCTGATTCCAGCAGGTCGAAGCTGCGGTGCCCAGGAGTGTATCACTGCCCTCCAGCCTGGGTGACAGAGTGAGAATCAAACTCAAAAAATAAAATAAAAAAGAAGTATCCATTGATTTCTGTTTTATTGTTTTATCAAAAATGTGTGTTGAGTTCGGAAAGTCTTTTCAGTATCTGTGGAGAAGAGTGTATATATTTTTCCCTTTTTAGATTTGTTAATGTATGACTTACATAGTATAGTAGTCCCTCTTATCTGAGGTTTTGTTTTTTGTGGTTTCATTTCTTGTGGTCAACTGCAGTCCCCAAATAGGTGAGTGCAGTACAACTAAAATATTTTGAGAGAGAGGGAGAAAGAGACCAGATTCACAATAAGTTTTATTATAGTATGCTGTTACAGTTGTTCTATTTTATTATTAGTTATTGTTAATCCTTTCCACTTGGATGTCCCCTTCAGGGGACATAAAGAGATTGCTGGTGATTATGTAGAACAAACTATGGCAGTGCAAATTTTTCCAAAATGTATGCTTCCTTGAAATTTTCCATTCAAATTACATGAAAAAGCAAATGAAATGGAATATATACTGAGATATATGTAAAAAACTATCAGCTGGTGTTATGTAGAAAGAAATGTGTGAAAGAGCTTTCACAGTGGTGCACAGACTAAACAATAAATTACAAATTATTAATGTGGGAGGAAGAAAATGAGACTGTGTTGTCTGCTCGAATAGAAGAACACTGAGTGGAAGACATCCAGCAACTTACTATTGCACAACATGTATCAGTGCACCTGCAATGTATGTCGGTGATTGTTTCACACATTATCAAATGTTAGAAATATATAAGATATAAAATTTTGATTTCTTTGTTATGAATAAGTTCCTCAGTGTCCATAATTCCATTTTAAGCCAAATATCACTACAATAAAATAATTGGTTTCAATGCAGTACTATTTAACATGAAGTGATTTGTTTTTAACATTTTGTAGAAAAGCATCATTGAGTTGTTGATAGGTGATCCATGAGATGTCTCTCTGAGTACAAATGGTTAATATAATTTAATTTATAAATTAAACTTTATCATACGTGTGTATGTATAGGAAAAAACATAGTATATGTAGGGTTTGGTACTAGCTGAAGTTTGAGGCATCCACTGGCGGTCTTGGAACAGATCCTCTGAGGATAAGACGGGAACTTCTGTACTAATGAATTTCCAGATCCATTTAACCATCTTTGCATTCTGAGAAAATATTACACCAGATTATTATGTTTTATTTATTTATTTATTTTTCGAGCTGAAGCCTCACTCTGTCACCCAGGCTGGAGTGCAGCATGCTCATGGCAAAAAATGCTGGACTTGGGCAATCCCTCTGCTTCAGCCTTCCAAGTAACCGGAACTACTGGCACACGCTACCATGCTGGCTAATTTTGATTTATGTAGAGATGTAGTCTCTTCATGTTGCCCGGGCTGGTCTCAAACCCACAGGCTCAGGCCATCTATTTGCTTCTCCCTCCCAAAGTGCTGAGATTACAGGCTAAGCCACCGATCCCGGGCCATTATGTTTTAAAAATGTGCATACATTCTGACTGCTAATGCTTTATTTAGTACTTTTCCACTGATATTTATAAGTGAGATTTGTCTATAATGCTCTTTTTTGGTGTATTCTTTAAGATATCAATGTTATATTTGCTTTATAAAAATATCAAGGGGAGGCTGGGCTCGGTGGCTCAGCCTGTAATCCCAGCACTTTGGGAGGCTGAGGTGAGTGGATTGCCTGAGCCTGAGTGAGTGGATTGTTCGAGACCCACCTGGGCAACTTGACGAGACCTCATTTCTACAATAAATCAAAATTTAGCCAGGTGTGATTGCGCGCGCCTATAGTTCCAGCTACTTGGAAGGCTGAGGCGGAAGGATCACCGGAACCCAGCAGGTCGAGGCTGCAGTGGCTGGGAGCGGCCACTGCACTTCCAGTTTGGGTGACAGAGTGAGACTCCAACTCAAAAAAAAAAAAAAAGAAAAAAGGGAAAATACTTATCTTCTCTTAAACAAGTAAAAATAAAAATATATGCTTAAAAAATGTAAATAAATGAATTAAATGTTAAACTATAAAAGCTGAAAAAAGGAAACAAACTGAAACAAAAGGGAAGAAAGAAAATTAAGAAAAGTAGAAGTTAATTATGAACTGAAACTAGTACTAAAGTTGTTTAGAATACTGCCTCTTTGAGAAATCAATTCTTTGGAAAACTAGAAAGAAACCAATAGTAGTTTAGTCAGGAAAATAGGTTTAAAAACACAAATACATGAAATAATAAGGTGGTTATATGCATCAAATCAGAGGAACTTGACAAAAATCAGTTATAGGGACTAATTTGTACAATCCTATATAAAAAGTGTTGGACCTAGATTGAATATTTTTTTAATGAAAATATAATTTCCCTAAGTTGACTTCAGAGCAGATAAAATTAAGCACACCAATTTTCTTTTTTTTGAGTTGGAGTCTCACTCTGTCGCCCAGACTGGAGTGCAGTGGCTGCTCCCGGCCACCGCAGCCTCGACCCGCTGGGCTCCAGCGATCCTTCCGCCTCAGCCTTCCAAGTAGCTGGAACTACAGGTGTGCACTATCACGCCTGGCTAATTTTTTGATTTATGGTAGAGATGAGGTCTCACCAAGTTGCCCAGGCAGGTCTCGAACCCGCGGGTTCAGGCAATCACTCACCTCAGCCTCCCAAGGCGCGGGATTACAGGCTGAGCCACCGAGCCCGGCTAGCACACCAATTTTCATAAAAGAAACAGAGATACTTTTAAAGTACTACTCCACACAATGGACCAGGCTCAGATGTTTCCACCAGAGAATTCCATCAAATTCAAACCAAAAAAACTTAATGCTGTTGTAACAAACCCAGTGCATAAAAAGGGAGGAAAACAGTATTTAATTTTTAAAAAATTTATGGTAAAATATATACCTAGCATAAAATTTGCAATTTAAAACATATTAAATTGTATAATTGAATTGTATTAATTATATTCACAATACTCTGCAGACATTGCCTTTATTTCCTAAACTTCCTCATCACACCAAACAAAAATGGTGACACCAATCAAGACACTCTTCCTCATGTCCTCCTGCCCCCTAGTCCTTGGCAACTTCTAATCTACTTTCTGCTTCTATGAATCTGCATACTCTAATATTTCTTATAAGTGAAATTAAATGTGTCCTGTGGTGTCTGGCTTATTTTACCTAGCATGATGTTTTTGGTTTCCTTTGTGGGGTAGCCATGGTCAGAACATGGTTCCTTCTTGTGACTGAATTCATTCGTTGTATGTACATCTCACACTTGGCTGATCTGTTCCTTGCTCAGATTGCCCTACCCTGCCTGAGAGGACTGGGACACCCGACCTCCACCGATGCCCAGAGATTCTACTCTCTTGGCTCTAAGAATGTCCTCTGTGCTGTCATTAAATGACATAAAAATGAATTTAAACGTGTTTCATCTGTTATTCTTTAAGATTATTTGTGTGTGTTGTATAAGTCATATGCTCTATGTTTCTAATTCATTAGTTAAGAAATAGGTGGGAGTTTGTGCATACCGCTGTAGAGGGACCCAGTCAGTGTCTTTGGAGACCATGCATGAGGTGTTCTAGGGAACTGAGGTTGTGTGGGACCCTGCTTTGCTTCTCTTTCTCTTTGACCTTTGTCTCTGGCAGTGGCTGACTGCCTTTGGCGCTTTCGTCACAGTTAGTCCTGGGGTGCAGGATACTTTTAGGTAACAGTATGGCAGCGGCGCTGGCAGATGATTGTGCCTCACCTAGGTCGTTTTCCTCCTCCAGCACAGTGTGTTGATTGTCATGAGGCCCGGAAGCTGTTTTTACAACTTTCTACGAGGTTGGGTGTAAATTCGTGTTAAGTGCTGGTTGCTTTTGTATGTGCTTAGAGAAGAGCTTTGCAAACAACCTACTTTGCATTGTCATGGTGTGATCTCCAAATCACTTTAGAGAGCTATGAGATTTCATTATCAGTGCTATAATTTAATAGGTTTTAGAGAGATCTTTGAACACGCCAAGTTATCTTAGAGAAAGAAGTGATTTTTCTCACAGGCAAGTCAAATCTAAGTGGCTGCCTTTAATTTCTTAACCATTATTATATCATTGCTTTATCATTACATCATTTTTTCTAGAATAATTAAAATTATTTGGTAATTCTTCTGTACGTTGGGCAACAAAGTGGGAGCAAGACAGACATTTTTAAAAGTCAGAAAATGAGTATGTAAGTCACAAAACATAATTGAGACATAATTTGACATAACTTTGATATATTGCTCATTTACTTTTCAATCTAGCTTCCTTTCTTTGTATATATGTATAAAGTCTTTTGAAATCTTTTTTTAGGTAGGTAGCCATCCAAGCTTCCTGAAGGAGGTTCGAGATCACATGCAGGACTCTTTCTTAATGCAGCCTGAGGTAAGCAGGAATTTAGTTGGGGTTTAAGGCCTTAGGTCTTAAGTTTTCAAGCACCACTACTGTCTTTAATATGTACCTGAAAAGCCATGTGTAATTTGAAGTGCATTAACATTTCAGAACTTGATATATTAGATGATAAATGTGTTCTTGATATCCAACCATAGATAGATTTTCTAATTTCACTGTATTTTACTTGTATTTTCTTGTGATATGCTCACTTGCCTTTAGATATTTATGTTCTTAGAAAATTATTCAGATACAGTTTTATAGTGCACAATGTCTTGTACACAGTAAACATTTAATCATGGGATATAAATAACCATTTTTTGTATCTACCTGAAAGGTTTAAAAAAAAAACTTTCAAAAATTTTTCTAAGTCTGTATTTCTGTTAATTCAGATGAACAAATTAGTACATACATGAACAAATGTACAAAATTAGGAATAATTTTAACTGTAATACAAGTATCAAGTGCCTGTAATCCCAGCACTTAGGGAGACTGAGGCAAGAGGTTTGCTTGAGTCCAGGAGTTCAAGACCAACCTGGGCAACATAGTGAGACCTTGTCTCTACAAAAAATAAAAAAATTATCTGGGTATAGTGGTGCATACCTGTAGTCCCAGCTACTTGGGAGACTGAGGCAGAAGAATTGCCTGAGTCCAGGAGGTGGAGGCTGTGGTGAGCGGTGATTGTGCTAGTGCACTCTAGCCTAGGTGACAGAGTGAGACAGGACTCATAGAAAAAGAAAGGACCAAGATAAGAACATTTGCATTGATAAACTGTTGTTATCAGATTAATCTGTAACTCTTATCAAAGTTTGTTTATTAACATAGCAAATGGAAACCAGTTATTTCTTGTGTAGGATTAAATTCAGGATCCTAGGCCATTATTTTTAAATATATTTTCTGCCCCTTTCCACCATTTCTTCTGAGACCCCAGTTTCAGGCGTGTTAGTCTTCCCACTCTTGCCACACAGTCAGTGAGGCTCTGTTTGCCCCCAACCCTTTTCCCTTCTGTGCTCCATCTTGGAGAGTTTCTGTTGCTGTACTGGGCTTGCTGACCACCCTCTCCCCTCACCCGCACCCGCCCCCCTGCTCCTCTGTCCCTCGTGCTGGACAGCAGTGGCAGGGTCACAGCTCACGGCAGACTTGACCTCCAGCTCAAGCTCCTGAGCAGCCGAGAACATAGGCATGCACCACCAAGCCCAGCTAATTTTGTGATTTCTTTTTTGAGAGACGAGGAGTCACTGTGTTACCCAGGCTGGGCTTGAACTTCTCGGCTCAAGCAGGCCTTCATGTTCGTCCTCCCAAAGTGTTGGGACTCAGGCGCAGTCAGCCTCGCTCGTCTTTTCTAAACAACTGTTAATACCACGCAGTGCATGTTTTTAAATCGCAGATGTTCTGTTTTTCGGCTCTAAAAGTCCCCTTTGGGTCTTTTGTATATCCCACATTCCTTGCCTAATTATGTTCATGTTTTCCTCTACTACTTTTTGAATATATCAGTGTATTTATAGTATTTCTTTTAACTTATTTGTCTACTGTTTTCATATCTGTCATTTCTGATCCTGTTTCTTTTTTTTTTTGAGTTGGAGTCTCACTCTGTCACCTAGACTGGAGTGCAGTGGCCATTCCTGGCCACCGCAGCCTCGACCTGCTGGGCTCCGGCGATCCTTCCGCCTCAGCCTTCCGAGTAGCCGGAATTACAGGCATGCGCTACCACGCCCGGCTGATTTTTTTTTTGATTTATTGTAGAGATGAGGTCTCGCCAAATTGCCCAGGCAGGTCTTGAACCCGCGGGCTCAGGCAATTCACTCACCTTGGTCTCCTAAAGTGTGGGATTACAGGCTGAGCCACCAAACACAGCTCTAAGCCTGTTTCTATAGCTTGATTTTTATTTTTCTTCTTGGTAATGTGTCATATTTTCCTGCTTTCTTGCAGAATGCCTGATGATTTTGTAATTTGATTTCAAATCTTAAAATTTTGCATTATTGGTTGCTGGATTTTGTTGTATTTTAAATGATGTTGGACTTTGTTCTGGCAGCTGTCAAATTATGTGGAATTACTTGGATCCTTATAGACTTGGTTTTACGCTTTTTTTTTTTTTTTTTTTTTGAGTTGGAGTCTCACTCATGACTACCACAGCCTTGACCTGTTGGGCTCAGGTGATCCTTCCTCCTCAGCCTTCCAAGTAGCTGGGACTACAGGCATGTGCCACCATGGCCGACTAATTTCATTTATTTATTTATTTACTGTAGAGACGAGGTCTCGCCAAGTTGCCCAGGCTGGTCTCAAACGCCTGGAATAGGCGATACTCTTGCCTCCACCTCCCAAAGTGCTGGGATTACAGGCGTGAGCCACCGTGCCCAGCCGCTTTTATGCTTTTTAATGCCCTCTGGTAGAGCCGCCTTTGGTGTAGGGCTTGTTTATTCCCACAGCGATGGTGGTGCCTTCTGAGTGCTCTGCCTCTGTCTGCCCATGTTGCACTGTCTTCCCACCTTGAGCAGGCAGCAACCGGGGCACTCCCGGTCATGTGTGTGCTTTGGGAATTGCCTGGTTCTTTCTCCTGCCTCAGGTGGTTTCTGCTCAGGCCATCCTCAGGCAGCTCGACTTTGGGAGGCCTCACGGGAGGGCTCCTCCCATGCAGCTCCTAACCTCAGTGCCACTCCATCTGCTCCCTCTGCTCAGTGATGCCAGCGGGTTGCCTCTCTCCCTTCTTCTATCCCTCCCTCCCCTCTGCCCCAGGCAGTAGCTTTGGTAGCCACAGGGCTCCTCTAAGGGATGCCGTCCTTTGCTAGCTTGTGTGCAGGAGTTTAAAATTGTCTTTGGTCTAGTTTCCTGGTTGTTACAGGTGGTGTTAAGTCGAACTTCTGTTGGTTGGAGGTGGACGTCCCCTGCTTTAGTCTGAGTAGTCCCCAGTCTTTTTGACTTCTAGAATGCTAGAGACTGTTTGTAGAGGGCCCTCAACTTGTGTGTGTTTCCTGTCTTCCGAAGATTAGATTGAGGGAATGCATTTTGACATGAGAACTTTCTAAGTGATGCTGTCCCTTGTGCACGTCAGGAGGCACGTGATGCCTGCTTGTGAGCTTGGTGAAGGGATGTTTCTTAGGCTTATCCAGTGTAAAGTTGCTATTTATTCTCTATCTGGATAAATTTTTTGAGAGGGACATATTTGATGCCATGTAAATATCCTGTTCGGCAAACTTTTCACCCACTATTGTTAGCATCTGTTATCAATTAGAAAAAAATTGTAAATCTCAAAAGTGGAATATGTATATTAGGAGAGAAATAGTAAATGATACAATAGTGGGGGAAAGTAAAACATGATGATGGACAATCGTTTAGACCTTTTTTCTCTGCACAAACAGATCTTGCAATATAAAGAAATGATTTCAGTTTTATTGAATAAATAAAATGTAACTTTTACTTGAATTTGACTCTTATTCTGTGGTGTAATAAATTGGACAAGATTGTATCATTATTTAAGATTTGTTCCACTTTTAATTAGGGTTCTTCACTATTTCTGTGCTTTTGATGCCTTTGGCAATGTGGATACACACATTCTCAGAATGTTGTCAAATGCCCAAAATACCTATGATTACAAAGAGAAACAATTATATAAAAATATAGTTACCCAAATACATTTGAAATGTAATATATGTTTTACCTTAATTATTTTATAGTAAAATATAGTGGTTTATAGCTATAATTTTGAAATGAAGTTGAATGTGAATGTTATATTAAATATATAAAAAGTTGGGAAATTTAATTTTTTTTTTGAGTTGCGTCTCACGTCGTCACCCATCCTGGAGTGTAGTCTTGACCCGCTGAACTTTGGCGATCCTTCCGCCTCAACCTTCCAAGTAACTGGAACTACAGGCGTGTGCCACCACACCTGGTTAATTTTTTATTTATTGCAGAGACGAGGTCTCGTTAAGTTGCCCAGGCTGGTCTTGAACCCCTGGGCTCGAATCCTGTCTCCTCTGCCTCCCAAAGTGTTGGGATTACAGATGTAGGTTTAGTTTTGACAGTCGTAGGTTCTATTGAACTAATGTGGTTGCTTGTTTCTTCCAGTCAGAATGAAAGCGACTGTAACATTTCAGTTAGATATTAGTAAATATAAAGATAATTTTTTCCCTATGCAATGTTTTGGATCAAGTTCAAGTTGTGGTTGAATGACGCTAGGAAGTAGGTAATATGCAGACTGTGCCTTGGGGCTTTATTTCCTAGATTAGATTTGCAGCAACAGATACAATCAAGCCTTTCCTTCTTGATCGTCTTCCCCTGTGACCCACTTGTTTGGTCAAAATGTACCAGTTGAAATGAATTTCCTATATGTGGAAGGAAAATGAGGGATGTTTCAAAGTCACGTGATGGCCAAATTTGATAGTCATGTGAAATTGGTTAAAATTAAAATATATGGTACATCTTTTAAATAATAAGACTAAAAATGAGACAATTTGTCATAAACTTTCCCTCACATCTACCTTGTACCTTATCAGTATCTTGTTTCAGCCAAAGTTATATGTAGCATATTTATCCTCATGGCTGAAAAGGTTTTTTTTTTTTTTTTTTTTTGAGTCAGAGTCTCACTCTGTCGCCCAGACTGGAGTGCAGTGGCACACTCACGGCTATCGCAGTCTCTACCTGCTGGGGTCAGGCGATCCTTCCACCTCAGCCTTCCCAGTAGCTAGAACTATAGGCATACACCACCACGCCTGGCTAATTATTTTTTTGATTTATTGTAGAGACAAGGTCTCGCCAGTTTGCCCCGGCTGGTCTCAAACCCTGGGCTTAGATAATCCTCTCACCTCAGCCTCCAAAAGTGCTGGGATTATAGATGTGAGCCACTGTGCCCTGCTAAGTGGGTCCTTTGATTTTTGAAGTGGTGGTAGCTATGAATTTGGCAGTGTTGAAATAATGTTAGTGATTCTGTCTTTCCAGTAGTATTTTCTCATTCTCAGATAAAAGCATTTGTCAGTGTTGATACATTGCCTCGCTTCTTGTTTACTTGGTGTTTAAAAGTGTTACTAATTATTTAATCATTCTGCCAATAAAATCAGTGTCGGGACCGCAGATCCAAGTAATAGGCTCACATAGTCAACTTGACTTTATGCTTCTAATAAAGATCAAATCCAAGATTTGATTAACTGGTTGGGCTTCATTCATGCTGGGCAGAGTTTTTGTAGGTGTGCATTCATGCAGGCCTTGTTTGTGTATCTGTGGGACTGGCTTTTTATTCTGTCTGTAACCCTGCAACACAGTGGCAGGTGTCCTAAATATTTTTTAGTATTACTAATTTGCACTGTGTTTTCAGGTTTTGTTATTTTATTTGCTGAGTTGAAGTCTTACTATTGCCCAGGCTGGAGTGCTGTTGCATGCTCATGGCCACTGAAGCCTCGACCTGCTGGACTCAAGCGGTCCTTCTGCCTCAGCCTCCCACGTAACTGGAACTATAGGCACATATCACCATGCCTGGCTAATTTTTTTGGTTTATTGTAGAGACGAGGTCTTGCCAAGTAGCCTAGGCTTGTCTTGAGCCCCTGGGCTCAGACAGTTCTTTGGCCTCCACCTCCTAAAGTGCTGGAATTACAGGCGTGGACCACTGTGCCCGGCCTGCTTTCAGGTTTTGAACATTTCTTTATCTTCTGTTTTATTGATTTGTTTTCTTTTGTCCTTTTTCTAATATAAAAATTTAAGTTATCAGATAGACCTCAGGAAACACAACAAAATGGAGCATTCTCTCCTATTGTCCTTATATCATCTGTAGTCATAATTAGATGTAATCGGTGGCAGCTATTTTTATTTGTTCCTTGTAATCATTCTTTTGCTGTTGGTAAGTATTTCTGTTGGGGGCCTATCAGAGACTGAAGAATGTGTTGATTTCCACTTTGAAAAGTAACATTTGTGCGGGCTCGGTGGCTCAGCCTGTAATCCCAGCAGTTTTGGGAGGCTGAGGCGAGTGGATTGCCTGAGCCCGTGGTTTCGAGACCCACCTGGGCTCCTTGGCGAGACCTCGTCTCTACAATAAATCAAAACTTAGCTGGGTGTGGTAGTGCACGCCTGTAGTTCTGGCTAATTGGAAGGCTAAGGCGGAAGGATCGCCAGAGCCCAGCACGTCGAGGCTGCAGTGGCTAGGAGCGTGCCACTGCATTCCAGTCTGGATGACAGAGTGAAACTCCAACTCAAAAAAAAAAAAAAAAGTAATATTTATGGCTTGCTTTAAGTGATATGTGAGTGGATGAGCAATAGGTGGCATGGGTTATTTTTATACGAGAATGAATTCCTGGCACCTAAACAGTTCTATTTTCTCATACCTGTCCTATCTGTTGCAAGCTGCGAAAGTTTTTTCTTTTTTTGATGTTGACTGTATTTGGTTTTTTGATTTTTTTTTTTTTTTTTTACAAAACTTCTATTTATTACAGTACATCATTTTCTAAAATCCTGTGGTGTTTGTGCAATTTTTCCATGTGGTTTTATTCATTTAATTTGCTGTTTTTGGTCTAATTTTCATCTTCCCTGACATCTATTACTTATTCATCCATGGAAGATTTTGAGGCCTTCTCATATAGTTTTTGCTTTTTGATTTTTTTTTGAGTTGGAGTCTCACTCTGTCGCTCAGACTGGAGTGGCCACTCTGGCCAGCCTCACTTGCTGGGCTCCGGCAATTCTTCCGCCTCAGCCTTCCGAGTAGCTGGAGCTACAGGCGCACACTACCACGCCTGGCTAATTTTTTTATTTATTGTAGAGATGAGGTCTCGCCAAGCTGCCCAGGCGGGTCTTGAACCCGCAGGCTCAGGCAATCCGTTCATCTCAGCCTCCCAAAGCGCTGGGATTACAGGCTGAGCCATCGAGCCCGGCCCTCATATAGTATTTGATACTCTTGGATATGAAGATGGAGTTAATTAAATCAATGTTAGGTGAAAGGATGGATACAATTATTTTGTGACATGATTTGTGATATTTGATGCAATTATGACAAGACTTCTACTTACCCAGGAAGAGGATCAGAAAATGTTGCTCTTAAATGATTGCTTTTTAAGTGGTTGATTTCAAATCAAGACAATCAGGTCAATTTTTTAATACAAACACTGGTTCGTCTGAAGCATGCTTTTGTAAGATTGTCTTTCTGTGCTACTGCTTTTGTCCAAGTCATTTCCGAAGCATCCCCCCCTTGGTCTCGCCTTCATATTCCCTATCTCATTTGGTTGAATTAACTCAGTGTTGGCAAATGCGTCATGCATAACTTAAGAACAGGGATGTGTTCTGAGAAATACATCGCTAGCCAATTTTGTCATTGTGGGGACATCATAGAGAGTACTTACACAGCCCTAGGCAGTACAGCCTACTGTATGCCTAGTGTATATGGTACAGCTACTGCTCCTAGGCTACACACCTGTGCATACTGTAGGAAATTGTAACACGACAATAAGAGTACAGTAAAAATAAGCTATTATAATCTTAGGGGTATACTGTCATATACGTGGTCCATTGTTAAACACCATTATGCACCACATGACTATTCATTTGTAGTAGGAGGATTAATTTTATTATTTTGTATTGACAAATTATTAACTTAATTAATAACCAGAAATCATTTTGAATGTGGTTTTTAGAGTTTAAAAATTTTTTTTCTTTAATTGTGGTTGAATGAGGTTTTAAGTGCAGTAGATAGGTGGTAATCATTTTCAAAGAGAAGTTCCAAAAATGCTTGGAGCAGTAGCAGCTTGATGGAAAAAATATTTAAAGCCAAATTCCTTCTTTGAGCTACTTTTGACTATTAGGGTTTACATTTTATAACTTCATTTAATTTCTTCTGTCAAATGATAAAGAAGTGTGTCCTCACTGTAAACAAAAACTCTGTGCCTTTCTTACATTTTCTGTTTTTATTTACCTCTGTGTAGCAAATCTGTTAAACTAAATTAATAGGGAAAACATTATTTGCAAAGGAGACTTAGTGCTTGATCATTGCTCTGTTTGGACCTAATTTGAGCAGTTGTTGAGGTAGTTAGCAGTTTGTGTCCAGGTAAGACTTCTGACTCTAAACCTGTTTTGAAATTAACAGAATTGTCTTGCAGAGACAGAAAGTGTAACGAACAGCTGGGTAGTTATTTTCTAGTAAATTGTGGTTTTTAAAATTATCTTTTTATGTTTCCAATTTTAGAAATATGGAAAACTGACAGCCTGCACTGGCTGCCGAGCGCAGTGCAGGTTTTTCGATATGACTCAGTGTATAGGTCCTAATGGATACATGGAGCCATACTGTTCAACAGCGTGCATGAACAGCCACAAGACAAAGTATGCAAAGTCCCAAAGTGAGTTCAGGCGTGGCGAAGGTGGGGAGCTGGACAGCAGAACTGCTCTTTACACAAATAGCTGCTACTTCTTGTGTGATGTTTTTAACTGCTTTCATTTATTTTCATTGCAGTGAACTTTCTTATAGCAAATTGTTCTAATTGTTTTGATTATCTGTACTACTTTTAAGTTTTTAAAGTTTTCTCCATATCTATGTTCTTAGCTAAAATTGTCGTTCCATCCAAAATAATCACCCCAAACTGAGATTTTTCTTTGTATCTGTATCTTTTAGAGACATAATACCAGTCTTTTTTTTTAACACAGTCTTTTATGACAGTATTTTTTAAGGCGCTGCAAATAATAAGAGACTAGTTGATGAATTTCCATTAAAAAATTAATCTCAGCAGTCAGTTAAGATTTTAAAAACTTTTATTACTTTATAGAGAAATCAGATATGTACCTTTTCTCTCCTAGGTTTGGGAATTATTTGCCATTTTTGCAAGCGAAACTCCTTACCTCAGTACCAAGCCACAATGCCTGACGGAAAACTGTATAACTTTTGCAATTCCAGTTGTGTGGCTAAATTTCAGGTTTGTTAATTATTTTGCATAACTCATGCCCCCAATAAAATACACATCAAAAATAAACCGTGTAATGTGCTTTATCTACATCTTATCTGTGAACTTTTATATAGTTTGTGGAGGGTCAAATTGGAGAGTGCGATTTCAGAGTCACAGAATTACCTGGACATACCAGCATTCTACTTTAGCACTGATAATCTAATTGACATTTTAGTTCTTACTATAATATAGATTTTGAAGGAAAGTACCTCATAGTGTGGATGAGCTCAGTGCCTGATTTGTAGTTTTTTCTTATTAGAGGGTCTGAATAAAATGTGAGCCTAAGGGAAGCTCCATTCTGTGATACATGGATGAGGGGCCGAGGTGTGCTTGGCCTGGAGGTCTTAGAAGGTGTGTTTTCTGCATGCTAGAGATGGGCTGTGGGTATAGGGAATTAGACTACTCTTATGATGGGCCTTGATCTGATGCAGGGTCAGGACGTGTAAGGACAGCTTTCTGGCAGAGTTCTTCGAAGTTGGAATGTGGAAACCTCTGAAGATTGACGACTGGGAGTGTTTAAACATAACCTGGTTGACCACTAGGAAGGAGGAGCTCAGAGGGGATGCAAGTGTTAGTTAGATGGTACGATTAGGGTTTCTTGTATGTGGAAATTCCAGGGTATTACCCAAAGGGTCACATGCTTCATGAATTAATTCATCCAACAGTTCTGCTTTGTTCCAGGTACTGTGCTCTATGTTAATTTATTTAAACTGAAAATATAGTATCTTAAATATGTTACAATAGTTACTATAACACCTACTAGTACTTAAATTAAGGGGGTTTTGAATTCAACCAAGTGAATGTCATTTTTGTTCATGTGTATATCCTTACTGCACTTAGGTTATAAGCCACATTGAAGACTAAATTTGTTATTTTAGAAGTTGGGATCATACTATTGATACATCCTTATAATTGACTTTTCTTAAACTAGAAATTAAGTAATAATGACTAACTAGAAGAGGGAAGACAGTATCTGTGGCACGTCACTTGAACTTCATACCTTTTCGATGTTGTTGAGTGAACTGAACTGATAATTGAAAATATTTTAACTGCCTTTTTCATTTAATTGAGTTGCATTGCCCGTGATTTGATAAGACCCTCTGTGTATGTATATTGTATATTTTTAAGGTATATACTTGTCCCTCGATGTCCTAGACTTCCTGGGGAATGGGGGATGGGTTCCTAGACTTCCTGGGGATACAAAAATCCATAGATGCCCAAGTCCCTGATATAAAATGGCATAATGTTTGCATGTAACCTACAATACACATGCTCCCTTATACTTTGTCACCTCTACATTACTTCTCATACATAATGCAATGCAAATGCTGTGTAAATAGTTGTTATACTGTACTGTTTAGCGAATAAAGATAAGAAAAACTCCATGTGTTCATGCAGACACAACCATCTTTTTTTTTTTTTTAAATATTTTTAATACTTAGTTGGCTGAATCCATGGATACACAGGGCTGATTAATTTAATTTAGGATCTTTTTTTTTTTTTGCGTTGGAGTCTCACTCTGTCACCCAGACTGGAGTGCAGTGGCTGCTCCCGGCCACCACAGCCTCGACCTGCTGGGCTCCAGCGATCCTTCCGCCTCAGCCTTCTGAGTAGCCGGAACTATAGGCTTGTGCTACCACACCCGGCTGATTTTTTGATTTGTTGTAGAGATGAGGTCTCGCTGCCCAGGCAAGTCTCGAACCCGCGGGCTCAGGTAGTCCGCTCAGCTCAGCCTCCCAAAGGGTACGGGATTACATGCTGAGCCACCAAGCCTGGCTAATTTAGGATCTTAACTTTGAGGACTGCATCCAGGTAATACAGAGTTGACAGAACAGCAACACTTGTTCCTTTATTTTAAAGCAAACCACGTATTTTGGTTTGTTTTCTGATTTTTTTTTTTTTAGTCAGGGTCTCTCTGTTGCCTAGGCTCAAGTACAGTGGCACAATCACGGCTCATTGCAGTCTCCAATTCCTGGGCTCAAGCAATCCTCCTGCATTAGCCTCCTGAGTAACTGGGACTAGAAGTGTGCAACTACCACGCCTGGCTAATTTTTGAAAATGTTTATGTAGAGATGAGGCCTTGCTGTGTTGCCTAGGCTGGTCTTGAACTCTTGGCCTCAAATGATCCTCCCGCCTTGGCCTCCCCAAGTTCTGTGATTACAGGCATGGCCAACCATGCCTGGCCTCAAAACATGTATTTTGAACTTTGTATCTTTATTAGATGTTTTTCTTTATAAAAATAAGATACTAGGATAGTATTCTATCTTAGTCCATTCAAGCTGTTATAACAAAATACCTTAGACTGGGTGGCTTGTATAACAGAAATTTATTTCTTGGTGTTCTTGGGAAGTCCAAGACAAGGCTCTCCTCGTAGATGATGGAAAGGGCAACAAGCCCTCTCAGGTCTTTCCTATGAGGGAAGAGCCCTCGGGATCTCACCACCCCCAGAAACCCCTCTTTGTGCCATCACTTTGGGGCATGAGTCTCAAACATGCTTCAGACTGGAGCACAGCCTGTTCCTTTTGAGAGAGTAGTTCACTTTAATGAGGCCCAACTCTCAGGAAATTAAGGGTAATGTTGGTTTTTATTTTAAAAATTTATTCACCTGATAGACTTAAGTCTGCATGTTTTATTTTCTCGCAAACTTTGTGTTGTGCAGGGTATGTTGAAGTTTTAAAAACATTTTTCTCCTCTACTTGTACTTGAATAGTTAATTTTTATTGACTATTTCATGCATTCAGAAGATGATCTTTAATATGTATGTAATGAACCAGTATGGTCGAAAAGAGTGTTTTTATTTATTTTTATGTTTTTGAGTTGGAGTCTCACTCTGTCGCCCAGACTGGAGTGCAGTGGCACACTCACGGCCACTGCTGCCTCGACCTGCTGGGCTGAGGTGATCCTTCCACCTCAGCCTTCCAAGTAGATGGAACTACAGGTGTGTGCCACCATGCCCAGCTAACTTTTTGATTTATTGCAGAGATGAGGTCTTGCCAAGTTTCCAGACTGGTCTCAAATCTCAGCTCAGGCCATCCTCTTGCATCTGCCTCCCAAAGTGCTGGACTACAGGCATGAGCCACCACCCCTGGCCAGAGAGTGATTTAATTAAATTAAATTAATTAATTTATTTTTGAGTTGGAGTCTCACTCTGTCACCCAGGCTGGAGTGCAGCGGCTGCTCCCAGCCACCACAGCCTCGACCTGCTGGGCTCTAGCGATCCTTCCACCCCAGCCTTCCAAGTAGTCGGATTTACAGGCATGCACTACCATGCCCAGCTGATTTTTTGATTTATTGTAGAGATGAGGTCTCGCTGCCCAGGTGGGTCTTGAACCTGCGGGCTCAGGCAATCCACTCACCTCAGCCTCCCAAAGGCGCGGGATTACAGGCTGAGCCACCGAGCCCGGCTGAGAGTGATTTTAAATACCAATTTACCCACCACTTAGATTAGGAAATAGAAAAAACTCTTAAAGTCCATATATGCTTTTATCCTATCTTATTCTGTAAATTTTCTTAACTTTTAAAAAAAGTAAAAAAACTAAAATTCCTGGCCTGTATACCAGTCTGTAAATTATTTTTCCTTATCTATGTAGAGGAAATTATCAGTTTTTAAAAGTAATATAGCCTAGTTTCACTGATAGACTTAGAATGGAAACTATTACAGTGATACAGTAGGACAGACCACGAATACATTAGGAATTTGATGGTTATTGGGGAGAGCAGTAGGGACTACAGTTATGATTATTATTTTTTAAGCTTATATTTGCTAGTTCAGAGCTTGGGCAACTAATCTCACTATTGTGTGCTGATGTTTTCTCTAAGTGAACATGCTAAGGTGGAACTGGATGATTTTTCTTTTTTATATTATTTTAGGTAAATAGTAGTAACCCTGTGATAAAAGGGTTATCACTATTAATTTATCAAATAAATTGAATTTCTTTTTTTCTTTTTTTGAGTCAGAGTCTCACTCATGGCCACTGCAGTCTTGACCTGCTAGGCTCAGGCGATCCTTCTACTTTAGCCCTTGAAGTAGCTGGAATCACAGGCGTGTGCCACCACTCCCAGCTAATTTTTTAAAAATTGGGATTATATGTATAAGCCACTGCACCTGACTGAATTTCAACTTTATAAAACCTAGTATACTTGTATAATTTTTAAAGACAAAATTCAGAAATGCTTTTTATATGCTAAAAAATATTTAAGCAAGATGCATATTATTTTCTGGACATAGTAGATATTTGGCAGTGTTTGCAAATAGAAATTCTAAAATAAAATTTTATATCAGGCTCAGTATATTTTGTTCTTTGTTTTAGGCTCTAAGTATGCAGTCATCTCCAAATGGCCAGTTTGTAGCGCCAAGTGATATTCAGTTGAAATGCAACTACTGCAAAAATTCCTTTTGTTCAAAACCAGAAATCCTGGAATGGGAGGCAAGTCATTTTTTGTAATGTATGTTATGTACTAAAATGCAAGTCTAGTACAGTAACTGTGATATTTCCATATTGGAAGCCTGTTTCTTGGTGGATAAAGAATACGTTTCTCAGATTTTGTGGGGATTGACTTACTCTCTTGCATTGGCATGAAACCAACAGAGGCTCTGTTTATTTTTGGGTCAAACAAAAAAATGATTAAGGTCATGGTCACCATATATTATGTTCATAATAGTGTACAGAATGTCACTTTGTGTAGCTACATACCTGGTGTGACTGTCACTTTGCCCATTTTTCTCCTTTTCCTTTATTATTTGTGAATTACAATGTCTTGCAATATCATCCAGTACCTGTAAAAGTTAGAATTTGTTAGTCATATACCATGTTGTCCTTTAACATTTTATAGTTGTGTTTTAAAAGAACAGAGCCTGTGAATCCTAATATAAGTTTATTTTCACTTTCTAATCACTCTCACCTTCACTAGCTTACTAATTTACTTTGCCATGTCTTTTTGCCATTAGCAACAACTCTGATCATTGACTGTGGCCTCCATACGGGCAGTGATAGGTGGTGGATGGGCAGGCTGGCCCTGGCTGCCTTGCTTCCTTGAGTAGTGCTTACCTTTGTCATCCTCTCACTTTTTTTGCGGGGATGGGGGATGAGGTAGGGAGGTGGCCATGGAGAATGTATAAAATGATGAACAAGATGTAGTACTCCCACAGACTCTGGAGCCATGTTTATATTGGCTGTTGATGAGACAGGGAGTACTGGGGTCTTAGGTCCAAGGTGATTTCCAGAGCTGGACCACATGCTCTCTGAAGATCTCTAGAAGTCTGAAATGTTAACAGTTTAGTGACTGGGAGATTTTTCAGTTTATTATTCTATTTGGTACTATCTCCACAATATGTCAGCAGTTCATTCTTTGAGACTGTTGTTGGCCCACAGGGATGGGTTTTAGTGAATGATACCTATTAAGCATCAGCAACAAGAATGGAGGCCCAGGAAGGGCTAATATAGGAATGACAAGGAGTGAGGAGAGAGGCCCATTAGTAAGCACAGAGTGAAGCATCAAGTGGGGAGTGAAGAGCTCATGCAAACTGGGGCCCTCTCTACAGCGCTGTGTCAGTGCTCCTCAGGTGTGTCGTCTTGATGGTGTGTGGCTTCTGTGTGCATGGAGGTTACGTCTTGGAAGCAGCTCAGAGACACTGTCACACTGAAAAGAGCAGGCCGGGCTCGGTGGCTCAGCCTGTAATCCCAGCGCTTTGGGAGGCCGAGGTGAGTGGATTGCCTGAGCCTGCGGGTTTGAGACCCACCTGGGCAACTTGGCGAGACCTCATCTCCACAATAAATCAAAAATTAGCCGGGCGTGGTCGCGCGCGCCTGTAGTTCCAGCTACTTGGAAGGCTGAGGCGGAAGGATCGCCGGAGCCCAGCAGGTCGAGGCTGCGGTGGCTGGGAGCGGCCACTGCATTCCAGTCTGGGCGACAGTGAGACTCCAACTCAAAAAAAAAAGAAAAGAGTTGAGCTTCTTCCTAGGAGATTTTGAGTGTGGGGCCTCTTCTCACACCATGATTTTTCCTCTCACAAATGCCATAGTGTAACGGGGTCATCTTCCACTAGGGCTGCCTTGCTGCCCAAGTTGATTTCTGGTCTTTCACCTTCCCTGTTTGGCCTTCAGGAATCTTGCTAAATGTCCAATAGATGATTTAGGCTTAGTCTGTGTTCTCTGTAATCACAGCGGAGAAGAGCTGCCTCCCTGCAAGTTTTAGCTTGTTCATGACTGCTTGGGCAGGGATCTGAAAAGGTGCTGTAGCAGTGGTGGGTTTGGGGTCAGAAAGAACCACATCATTACTTACCATGTTCCATTTAAGGGAACCAACTCAGTCTCAAGTTTAGCAGCACACTGTGTGATGGCACCAAACCAAATACTTGACCTCAGGAAATCTGGTACTGTTGTGGTGTGGTGGGAATATGACTGGGCATGCTGGCCCATTCAACCAGGCATGGTTCTTTCTAACTGAAAATGTGATTAGTGTCATAATTAACATCTTTCTGTAGCTTACCTGTGGTATGTCTTCCGTTGTTTTCCCATTTCTCCAGTCTGTTAGCAACATTAGACTGCCATCTTAATTTAGTGATATTTTAATTTTTTCACTGAATAATTTTTGAGCAAGTTAATGATATTGAACTCTGTGGGTGTGTGTTTAAATTTAGCAGTGACTTGGTTATTAAACTAGGTATCTGTGGTCTATGGAAATGTATCCTCAAGAGTTATAACATTAAGTAGATAAATGATTTAACTTTGTTTCTGTAAAAGTAGTTGCTTATTTCTTAAACTTGTTCTTGAGGTGGTTGTCATATACTTAACCAAGGTTCCCGTTGTGCATTTAGAACAAAGTGTACCAGTTCTGCAGCAAAACTTGTTCAGATGACTATAAGAAGTTGCATTGCATAGTTACATATTGCGAATACTGTCAAGAGGAGAAGACTCTTCATGAAACAGTAAATTTCTCTGGCGTTAAGAGACCTTTCTGTAGTGAAGGCAAGTGTATATACAGTGTTGTTCATAACTTTTATTGATATTTAATTTTTTTGCTAAAATATTTAAAAAAATATGTTGCTACATATGTCCAGAGTAGGTGCACAAAATGTAGCCAAACAAAAAAATTGAGTTCATGTTTCTACTGACTTGCTTTGTTATTTTATATGTATTTGTAGACCTCTGGGCCTTAACTCTAAAAATTTGGTAACTTCTTATTCCATTCCATTAAAGTTTTGAGATAACATAAATGCACGATCATACCGTGTTTTTCTACACCTACACACTGTGTTTGAAAACTGGTTTTCCAAATACATCAGGATTGCTGCCCATGATTTCAGTTTCCCAGCCTAGCTTACTGCCTCACCCACAGATGTCATTAATATCCTGCACAGAAAGCAAGTCCCATTCAATAGTACCACAGTGGGAAACGACCTTGGGGTTCTTAGCTGGGGATGTAAGGGACACACTGGATTCTGCTATGACAGCCAGGAATCCATTTCCTCTCATCTACATGCTTGTTGCTCTGGTGCCAGACAGCAGATTATAGAAGGGAACTCATGTTCTGAATCTACTCAGGAGATGGAAACTAGGGTTGCATCTATGGGCTCCTGCTATTCCTGTTCCCCAGACGTCACATATTTGGTCTAAGCTGGCTCTCGCTTTTTGTCCTTTGGTCCATGGCACTGAACTCCCAGCTTTCCTATCTTCACCTATTGTTTTTCAATGAGGATTTTTTTTTCCTGGCTCCACTTTTTCTATGGCTTTCTACTGCTAGTTTGTAGCAAGAGAAAGGTTGAGATGTCCCAAATACCAGCAAAAGCAAACGATTTCCCAGTCCATTCAACTTGTGTCTTCATTTGTACTTTTCATGTGTGATGTCTGTAAGAGGGCACTGTTGTAAAACAAGGCTTTCCTATTTCAATTTAATTTTGTGCATTTTACCTGGAATGGAAGGTAACCATATTTTACTGCTATATAAGAGCAAAGTTATCATGAACAATCACAAATCTTAGCTGATTGCTCACATATATGGCAGTGACCATGTACCATTTGGCTCATATGGATTTTACTAAAATAAGTGCACAGTTAGTAGCAAATAGGTAATTGTCATTTAAGAACATAATTTCAATTGGAAAGGCTTATACGTTTGGATGAGTAATAACAGGTTAAAAAGGATGTGTGTTTTTCCTACAAATGACATGTGTTTTGCTTTCTCTTAATGCATCTAGTATTCTGCTGGAGTCTGTCAGAATAACAAAACATAGCACCTAGTACTACCATCAAACTCTAGTTAGATAAAGTTAATAAAGGTAAATTTTAAAATGTGATTTTTAAATATACTACAAGGTAACAGAAAAGAAGGAATACAACTGAATGATTGTTAAGGAAATTGAAGAGAAAACAATTGAAATTGGTGTTCACAGACAGGAAAGACCATTGAAAACTCGGTTTATGGGCTAGAGTTTGGGATGGAGGTGTGATTTGATCTCCTTATGTAGTAAATAAAACAATCACTTTATTCAAGGAGTAGATAACAAAGTATTTTATCTGGACAAGTCAGTAAACCAGTTTTATCTCCCTGAGGTCCACGTAAGAAAGGTAAGCATGAAAAGTTGGTAAAAATGCCGACATAGCTGGACATTTCTGGGCATCTGCTCAGAGCCTCTCAGCAGTCTATGTCTGTAGTGTGCCGACTCTGATCTCAGGCAAGATCCTATTTATTTGTGTTTATGTATTTATTTGAGTCAGAGTCTCATTCCATTGCCCAGGCTGGTCTCGAGCTCCTAGGCTCAGAAGATTCTATTTAAGTAGAGCAAATAAAGTAGTTCTGAGACATGACTAGATTTTAATGTCTTGAAAAACATTAATTACTTGAGCCCACATTAGATAATATATTCTCTAATATATTCCATATTCTGTACCAATTTTTACAGGTTGGTGTTGATTACAGCAGATTTTACAGTTTAGATCAGGAGAAAGAATCCACTGACCTGTAAGATCTGTCTCAACTCAGAAATTAGCTTTTTATGCGTTTCTTGTTTTAATATTTAAACCTTATATTTTCCAGGCTGCAAATTATTGTACAAACAGGATTTTGCAAGACGCTTAGGACTGAGATGTGTTACTTGCAACTATTGTTCTCAGCTGTGTAAGAAAGGCGCCACTAAAGAGCTTGACGGTGTCGTGAGGGATTTCTGCAGTGAGGACTGCTGTAAAAAGTTTCAGGACTGGTACTACAAGGCGAGTAACTCCGTTCCTATTTCAGCAGCCACTTGTCCAGTCTTGTCCACAGCCCTGTAGCTGTCACCCTTGCAGACATGATAGCTCATTTATTTCTAAAATATTCACATTGTTGGCCTAACCCTGATTATACTGCTCACTGAAATCATTTCATCATTGCAGGTCATTATTTATGGCTTGATAGAGCATTTTACCCTTTTTTTCTTTGTTTTTTTTGAGTCAGAGTCTCACTCTGTTGCCCAGGCTGGAGTGCAGTGGGATGCTCACGCCCAGCCCAGTGTTGACCTGCTAGGCTCCGGCGATCCTTCTGCCTCAGCCTTCCAAGTAGCCGGAACTACAGGAGAGTCCTACCACATCCGGCTAATTTTTGATTTATTGTAGAGATAATATCTCGCCAAGTTGCTCATGCTGTTCTCGAATCTGTGAACTCAGGCAGTCCACTTACCCTGGCCTCCCAAAGTGCTGGGATTAGAGGTTTGAGCCACCGCGCCCGGCTGATAGAGCACTTTTCCTTTTTTAAAAAAATTCCAACTTAGGTATTAGTAAAAGAGTAGGGCATGCATGTATTTTCAATACAGTTTAACAAAATGGGTAATTTCTCTAAAATTCGTTGTCTTTTTTTTCACTAAATAGAAGTAGTTGTGACTACATGATCAGTGTTGGACATTAGCAGGTAATTGCTTTGGATAGCTGGGATGCAACTTAAAAACACTTTGCTCATTTTACCTTTTTCATTTTAGATTTTTGGAGTCGTTCAGACAGAAAGGACACTAAATTGAGATCAAAAATATTAAGAATTTGAGCCTGTAAATAAGTGTGTATGTGTGTGTTATGTTTTACTAAAATCTACTTTTATAAAGTCAGATAAATTTCTTTGGCCCATTGCATTAGTTTTTTCTAGATAAGAAAATGAGTGTAAATTTGGAATTTGGGCAGTCAGATATTGTCCACAAAGTTATTAATTCCTGGGTTGATAGCATGGAAAAACCTTCTCAGTGCTAAAACTTCATTATGGATTCAACTGTCAAGTGTGAGATCTCAATTCAAAATTGCTTGACACCTCTAAAGAAGCAACTAGCAAAATAGTTAAAATATGGAGAATGTTGTTTAGTTGATGTGATTAAGGTGATTAGTGTTAAAATGATAGTACTAAGAGTATTATAGTAATTGTAGTTACAATTTTTGAATATCTACAACGCAACATATTTAGTAGCATTTTATAAGTAAGATTTCAGAGTTGTAAAATAATTGAGCCTAAGAGTTTTGGTGCACTTTTAAAAAAAGTTACTCATTATTTTACTGCTGCTTCATGATGATACAAGCCTTACAAGTGACTCAAATTTTAGAAACACATGGAAGGTAAACATACATCCTCAAGCATGCTTTCCGTTTCATCTACATCAACGTTGTTTAAGACAGTAGTGTTTTTGAGAAATTAAAAAATTTTACTCTAGTGACTTGAAATGCCTAATTTTAGTTGAGCACATACAAGAAAATTTATTTTTGGATAATCCCAACACAATAAAGGCATACATTTGGAAGTGCTGTTTTTATTCTTATACCTTGAGAAACAATGAGACAAGCCTGACTCAGTGGCTCAGCCTGTAATCCCGCACCTTGGGAGATTGAGGTGAGTGGATTGCCTGAGTCTGCAGGTTCCAGACTCGCCTGGGCAACTTGGTGAGACCCCATCTCTGTAATAAATAAAAATTTCAGCCAGGCATAGTAGCGCGCACCTGTAGTTCCAGCTACTTGGAAGGCTGAGGCGGAAGGATCGCCGGAGCCTGGCAGGTCGAGGCTGCAGTGGCCAAGAGCGACCACTGTACTCCAGTCTGGGCAACAGAGTGAGACTCCAACTCAAAAAAAAAAAAACAAAACAAAACAATGAGACAGAAAGTTGTTAGTATGCAGTAATGATGATTTTCTTGTCATTATTTTACTATATAAATTTCTACCTAATTATAGTAATTGTGAATCTGAAATTTTAATAATTTAAAATAATCTTTCTTGGAGGATGTTTTTGTTCACAGCATACAATGAATGTATTTCTCTGGCTACTTTCTTTGAAAAAATATCTCTCCTTTTAAAAAGTATATTCCGTATAATTGAAATACAGAAATCTGTTGTTTTTCTTCTTTTGGGAAGCAAAGATGTGCTCTTGGGCAAAAGACTATATTTAGATGTTGTTCCATTTTGCTACTTATGTTAATGGGTAATTGTTTCTGTTTTATGCAATATTCAACAGCGAGAATTCAGTGAAGCAGTACATTTCCAAATATGTAAGAAATATGTTAAATATCAAGTTATAGTTACTAATTATGTTTAATGTCAGCATTCTGAACATTAGATGCATTTTCGTCATATATTCCTTGTCTTATTTTAAGCCTCCCATATTTTTGCATAATACACACAGTAGCATTATTCACATATGGACTGATCTGAGGAATCACAGTAAGAGCATCTTGGTTACATGGGAGGAATTGACAAAGGTGACAATAGTGTGGAGGCTTTTGTGCCCGCCGGGTGTGTGGGTGTGTAGTAGTACCGCTGTGGAGTGTGGCGAGCCACTGCGCCTCACACACTCTTGGCCTTCTGTGCAGGCAGCAATCACGGCCACAAGGGGGTGGCTTTGTCTTTGGCGCTTTGGTGACTCAAGCTGTGTTTCTTTCATCCTTCTGTTCACTGTTGCTGTGACAACATCATCTTGAGCATGTGGGGAATTGAATCCACATGCATTCATGGTTTTCTGACCTTCCTTCCCCTTTCACATCTTATCTTTTTCTGTTTAAATACTCAATATTTTAGATTTTGGTCCATGAAAAACTGTGGCTCTTATAAATCAGTCCTGCTCATCTGAAACAACTTCAAACCAAAAACGTGCCTTGGAGCTGCAGCCCTGTCAGTCTGTGGCTTCACATTTGGTCGTGAACCTTTGCAGTGGAACACACATTGTATCCATCCCTTACCTTTGTGCTTCACCTTGGGAGACTACCTAGAGTACAGATAACTTACATCTGTACTTATTTAAATGCAATATTAGGCTTTCAAATTTTCTGCATGTTTCTTTTGCTTGGCCACTTGGAATGATCAGTGTTTTCTGGTCTATATAATGGCTTGCTTCTGGATTTGAAATAGAGACTTACTGATTACTGTTTCTTCTAAATTGAAATGAGAAATCTATGATATTATACAGCCAAAACATGCTGAAAATAACTTTTTAGAAGGAAATAGATTTTACTTTACCTCAAGGCAAATGTTTGCAGGTATAAAGTGAAGCCAGATAGTTCTTTTGCTCGGTGTCAGTTAAAAATTTTTGAAGAAATAGAGTTTCATATTATAATGGAATACCAACTAGAAAGTGTTTGATAAATGGTGAAGATATTATTTCAAAAGGCCTACTATTTCCCAAAAATATGTCATAATACTTCTTCATAGAACTAAGCTTTTCTTAAACTGTATTATTACTTCAAATTGCTGTTTTTTAACTAAGGCTTTAATTTGTTTTCCAAATAATGGTGACAGTTTTAAGTTATTTAATACAAATGCCCTGTAATAGTCTAACTATGATTTATGGACTTTCATAAGATTAGATTTGTATAGTTTTTCCTTATATATCACCTGCTAGATATATCGCTTTTTAAAAAAATTCTGTTTTTGAAATTAATTTTAGAAAAAGAATATAAAGTATTCTTTCTTTAAATGTATTTTCTGGATAACTGAGAGTCCTTGTTAATTCAGTGCTCTGCATAGTACCCAGTCATCTGCTTGTGTGTGTTCTTTCTCTCCCCCTCTCTTTTTCTCTCTCTTTTGTAGTGAATCATTCCATTGTATTTGGAGAGCTATTTTCAGAAGTTATAAAAAATTTCTTTTTAAAATGTCTATATAATACCCCTATTTCATTCATATTCATGGTTCTTCCCTGCAACATTAGGTCTGTTTAAGATAGGTTGCAAATGATAGGAAGATAGGAAAGTTACCAGGATGTCTATACCAACCAAAAACAAGAAGCTGGTATAATCCAAGAAATGGAAGTCTTCTTCAGTGTGGATCGAACGATTTCGTCAGTCACTGAAGATGAAACTCCTGCTTAGCTGATAGGTTGAATTGAGGATTGAGATTCAGAGTTTAGTACCTGCCTGCTGTGTCGACAGTTCCTGCTTTTTGTTCCCCTTACCTTGCCATCCTGGATTTACCACGATGAAGCTGATGATGGTCACAGTGTTTTTAAAACCATAGACCTATGCCACATTTATTTCATTTTTTATGGTAAGGTTTTCTTTTTCTTTACTTTTTCTTAAATTAGAGACAGGGTTTTACTCTGTCACCCAGGCTGGATTGCAGTGGTACAATAATAGCTCATTATAGTCTTGACCTCCTGGGGTCAGGTTATCCTCCCATCTCAGCCTCCTGAGTAGCTGGGACTACAGGCATGTACCACCATGCCTGGCCTTTTTTTTTTTTTTTTGAATTGGAGTCTCACTCTGTCGTCCAGACTGGAGTGCAGTGGCCGCTCCCGGCCACCACAGCCTCGACCTGCTGGGCTCTGGCGATCCTCCCACCTCAGCCTTCCAAGTAGCTGGAATTACAGGTGCACGCTACCACACCCGGCTAATTTTTTTGATTTTATTGTAGAGTTGAGGTCTTGCCTGCGGGCTCGGGCAATCCACTCACCTCAGCCTCCCAAAGGCACGGGATTACAGGCTGAGCCACCGAGCCGGCTTTTTTTTTTTTTTTTTGTAAAGGCAGGGTCTTGCTATGTTGCTGAGCGTGGTCTAGAACTCTTGGCCTCAAGTGATTGTCTCGCCTTGGCCTCCCAAAGTGTTGGAATTACAGACATGAGCTACTGCACAGACCTCAATAATAAGCTTTCCTGAAAGTTCTCTATTGCAAGTGCCTGAGTGTGGGGTTGGAGTGGGGCGCAGAGTACAATGGTGTTTGTGTTAGTAAGGAATGATGGTCATTATGATGTTTTTAAGTTGGCCATCACACTGTAGATTAGTTCCAAACACTCTGCTAAGGGTTTGCATGAGTAGATATAAAAGAAACAAAGAAGTTCACAACCTCCAAAATGTGGATACATTACTGATCAGCACAGGAGTTTTGACCTGCTCCATCCTGGGCCGATTCACCCCTCCTTGGGTAACCTGATGGTCCCCCGCTCCCGGGAGGTCACCATATTGATGCTGAACTTAGTGTGGACACCCGATCGGCATAGCGCACAGCAACCCAGAACTCCTGGACTCAAGCAATCCTCTAGCCTCAGCCTCCCTGGTAGCTAGGGCTACAGGCACGTGCCTCCATGCCTGTGCTTTGGGAGGCTGAGATGAATGGATTGCCTGAGCCCGCGGGTTGGAGACCCGCCTGGGCAACTTGGTGAGACCTCATCTCTACAATAAATAAAAAAATTAGCCGGGCATGGTAGCGCGCGCCTATCATTACAGCTACTTGGAAGGCTGAGGCGGAAGGATCACTGGAGCCCAGCAGGTCGAGGCTGCGGTGACTGGGAGCATGCCACTGCACTCCAGCCTGGGCGACAGAGAGAGACTCCAACTCAAAAAAAAAAAATGTAGATACATTAAGCTTAGAATTATTAGTATTGATCTCTCCCTTGTATTGTTTCAGCCTGAAAAAATGTATATCTATTTCATTTCCATTTGTAAATTGGCATTAATCTTGCCCCTTTTTTCTTTGGATGAGATAAATTACCTACATTTGTTTTGAATCTTCTGAAAGAAAGGAGCTACAAGTACTGATACCACAGAAAGCCAGTGCCTACAGTTACAGAATGATGAAATGGCTCCTTGTTGTTTGGGTTCTTTGGAGGGAATGCCTCCTTGCCCTTCTAATTTATTGTGTTACTGGAAATACTGCATTTTCTAGGAGTCTACATAGAACTTGTAATCATAGGAATTCATCTTATACAAGTTCATCTGGGTTGAGGTGTTGAGATTCTTCTTGCCACACTTTGCTTGTTCTGTGTTAGGGTTTTTCTTCGCCTGTCGTTTACTGTAACCCCTTTTGTCTTTATTGCTTGGTGTGTAGGTTGAGGCCCAGGTTTTGACTTGGGCGCCTGCTTTGAATCCTGAGTCTGCGTTTTTAACATTGGACTTCTGTCAGTCAGTCTTCCTGAGCCCTTAACTGGTTGTTGGAGAGTGGGGTGGGCTCCGGCTGGGGCTCTCCGTGGAGAGCTTGTCCTCCTACAGCCTTGGGTTGCGTGCCGTGCTACTGTCTTCAGCCAGTGTTGTGCTTCCATTGCCATCCTTTGTGTTGTGTCTTTGAGCATAAGTTATCACACAAGAAAAGGAAATGGGAACCTAGAATACTTTTATGGTTATTAAAGATCAGTCTTTGGCTGGTAAGAATTTAGCACAGGAGCTTTCTTATTATTGAGTAAAATACGAACATGGTTGATGTTAAATGCTACTGTTAGTGAGATGACCCTGTGATACTACTGGCAGTATAAACTCTGGATTCACAAGTTTTTGGACAAGAGATGTGATGTTGGCATCACTTAATAGCTATAACTTATACTTTAAATCTTCATTCATTTAACATTTATTCAGCAGGACCTGACCTGGAGAAGAAAAAGAGCCTGTTTTCTGACCTTGGGGTATGCTTGTTATATGAGACCTGTATGTCAACATAGTCATTTGTTAATATTCTTGACCAGGTCATTGTTTGTAGGACTCCTGTCGATACACAAAGTGAGAGATTTCAGAATCCATAGTGCAAAACTCTAGATCATTTAGAATAATAAAGGAAAAACTGCAGCAACATTTATGAACTGAAAAATGCATAATATTTCTTGCTTTATCAGCATTTCTAAAATATTAGTTAAGCCAGAGGGTAATTTTAAAAATTATGGTAGTTTATTTCTAGATTAGAAGCTTAACTATGAAAAGAACTATATCTGAAATTAGTCATTTATATCTTTTGGACACTCATTGATCAAGATGTTAAGAAATAGTGAAATGAGCAAAATCTAAGGGAAACGAGATCTCTGAAAAGTAAAAATCTGTCTGTAGATTACTGGTTCATCATCATAAAGTATAAGCGAATTATACTATTTTTGGTTTTTCTTTTTGCATATTAAATTATGGACCAGTAGGGTCGATTATTTTCCTAGATATAGTCAAATTGATTGTCTTAAGATATTACGTTTTTGTGAAATAATTTAAAACATTGAATGTTTTAAAACATGAAGTTCTTGCTATTAAAATTAAATCAGTATGTTTATGAAAGTTTGTCAAATTTATCTTAAAGTGTTGAAAACTAAAATGTTTCAGGTTAACTATAACCTTCCCATCACAAGAGCTTGTTTCAAAATCACCCTGGGCTTGTACAACTATCCTAGGAAATCTGTCCATTAATCAGAAATGTTCAAAGTCATATTGTAGGAGTCTTCTGCCAGTATATTATTATGGCCCTCAAAATTATTTGAAAATATTATAACATATGGTATCAATCAGTTTGATCTACCAGTGCTTTTATAATGACTAGTATTTGACTTCTGGTAGATATGGAAAGAAATTTTATCAATTAGATAAGTTGCTCTTTTTTTTTTAACTTGTATTTTTATTTATTGTAGATTTTACTGTTTATAAATGATGTTAAAATTTTATTTTTTGTTGTATCATAGTTGGCAATAATCACTGAAAAACTTTTAGAAATCTTCAAACACACTTGTTTGATATTTAAGTTCTTCTAATGAAACGTCTGAAACATTTTTATGAAGGCTGCCAGGTGTGACTGCTGCAAGTCTCAAGGAACCCTCAAGGAGCGGGTACAGTGGCGTGGGGAGATGAAGCACTTCTGTGACCAGCACTGCTTGTTACGCTTCTACTGTCAGCAGAACGAGCCCAACATGACCACCCAGAAGGGGCCGGAGAACCTGCATTATGGTATGTGCTGCTGTAAAGGGTGACACAGAAGCCCTGGACAGCACTGATTATAGATAGTTGATTTTGGAGACAGTTTAACAGTACCTTAAATTCCATAGATCTTCTGGGTTGAAGCACCCTATATAATATTCCTATAAATGCATTTCTTTTCATTTTCTTCTCTTCTTAAACATTTAATGGCAATTGAAAAAACAGGGCCTATTTGGGGTAGAGAGAAACTAGACAGTGTTGTAACAAAAATTTTAAAAAGAAGAGTTATCTACTTACCATGTGTCCTGTAATTTTACGTGAAAACCATTTTTAGCAAATTCTTTGTGCTGGGGGGTAGATTGGAAGGAACAGCCCTTTAACAACTGTGAGTTTTTATTTTACTTAAGAGATAAATCTAAGAACATAGTATTTCCCCCCAAGCAATGTATAGTTTCAGAGAGAGGAATGTTTTTATACTTTTGATTCTAATTTGAGATTCTTAAAATAGTTAAAAACATTTTCTTTGGTAACATTTTAAATCATTGATATTTAATGAGAAATAGAGGTTTAGATAACTCTGGAGAAAGTTTGTCTTATATTTCTTTTCTTTTTTTTTTTTTTAGATCAGGGTTGTCAGACATCCCGAACCAAAATGACAGTAAGTATTGCTTAAGTGGAGCGATTGGTTGTGATTTTTATAGTTTGGAGGTAAAAAATGATTAGGCCAATATTATCTTATCTGATTATATCATCATAAAATTTTTTAAACTTTTTTGTTGAGACAGTGGAAGTATTTGGCCTCATTATATTATACCCTAGACTCTGATACATGCTAAGGAACATAAGGGGGAACTGATTTTAGCTTTTATCCACAGTGGGAAAGTAGACATACAAATCGTGTTTGAGTTGAAGCTCCCACAACAGATCCATCCTCAAGAGAGCAGCATGTGTTTGAAATGACAATGTATATGCTAAGGGACGTGAATAAGCTGACTGTAAACAGCTGAGTAGAAAGGTGGTCAGATAGATAGTCAGGAGGAATAATAAAACGCAAAGCCCTTGCCTATTTGGCAAAAGTACTCCTTAGGACCAAACTTGAAGGGGGTCTTGGGTGGAATAACAGGAAATGAGGCATATCACTGATGGCCTCATGCATGTGTCCTTAAGGAGAGAGCCAGAGGTGCATGATGGTGGCTGGACTTTATGAGTTTTCAAATTTGGGAAATATACAGTATGTCCTTTGTTTTTTTTCCTGTTTGGTTTTTCTTTTCCCTTTGGTGTGGTATTTCAAATTCTGCTTTTATGTTAGCATTTTAAGAGTTTTGTAGATTGATGACTGCCAGAGAGGAGTGGAGAGCAGTGAGGCCCTGCCTGCCCTCTGTGTTCCGCGTCTGACTGTAGGCTCCAGGGTGGATCCAAGGATCCAAGGTTGGCATTGCAATAAGTCAGTCTCTGGGCTCGTTTTTGTGATCAGAAAGAATAGATCAATGGGTCTTAGCTCTGGGTACAAATTAGACTCACCTGGCAAGTTTTCATAACCTCCCAATGCCCGGCCCCTGCCTAGAAATTCTGTATTTTTACAAAGTGCTTCAGTGATTCTAATATGCAGCCAGGACGAGGATCACTGATAGAGATGAAAGGTTGGTGTTTTCATTTATTCTGCCCAGTGTTTGTTTTTATTACTGATGGGACAGAATTCTAGAAAGTGAGAGTGCTTTTTTATTTTGATCCTTATCTAGTCTCCCTGTGGACATAACAATTTTTCTTTTTTTTTTTTTGAGTTGGAGTCTCACTCCGTCACCCAGGCTGGAGTGCAGTGGCCGCTCCTGGCCACTGTAGCCTCGACCTGCTAGGCTCCAGCGATCTTTCCGCCTCAGTCTTCCAAGTAGCTGGAACTACAGGCAAGCACTACCACGCCCAGCTAGTTCTTTGATTTTTTTATTGTAGAGGTGAGGTCTCGCCAAGTTGCCCAGGCGGGTCTTGAACCTGTGGGCTCAGGCAGTCCACTCATCTCTGCCTCCCAAAGTGCGGGATTACAGGCTGAGCCACCGAGCCCAGCCTGGACATAACATTTTTAAGTCAGATACGTCAGAAGTACATGCAGTACTCAGCTGAGTGTGACTTTGGGGCCAGGCCCTTTCGTCCACACTGAGGAGTGTGAGGATGGGCATCCCATGTGTCACCCCTGTACAGCCCTGAGGCAGCTGCCCAGCCTTGGCCCAAGGCTTGGGGTTTGGATCAGGACTCACGAAATCCCTCTTACTAGCATGACAGTAAATATTTCCCCCTGTGACAGCATTTGAACCCAGTTGTGTGACAGGACAGAGGGGGCCTTGTTAGTGGGGGGTGAATCAGGCTGCTGCCACCACTGTCTGGTGAAACCCTCTCCCGTCTGCTTTCAGACTTCTGGAGTCTTCTGTTTCTCTACCCATACACTCCCAAAGATGAAAGCCATGTAATTTTGTGCAAGTTAGTTCACTGATGTTTTTGTAGGTTTATCTGTAACGCTGGTATGAATACAGACCCATTTCAGGGTTGTCCCACAGTGGGTATTAAACAGAGGGAGTGCTTCAATTCCCAGCCACATAGAGGCAGTGTGTGTTTTCCAGTTTAGACAAACTTATCTAGTACCTGGCTTGTAATAGAAACTGTTTGCCAAGTTATTTTCCCCAGAGTCAGAGTGACTTGCTAATGGCACACAGCAGTAGCAGTAGAACCGAGCTGCCTGACTCTTGTCTATTCAGGACTCTCTTGTCTCTTGTAGCCACTGAAGGATGTGTTTTAAATCCTGATGAATCTGGAGTTAGCTCCTCTGAGTGCTAGCCTTTTTGGCTGTATGTATTATTTGTAACTAGTGAGATACACACTGCAAACAGTTTTTAATTATACACCCTTCCAGATCTTTTTTTTTTTTGATTTGGAGTCTCACTCTGTCGCCCAGACTGGAGTGCAGTGGCCGCTCCCGGCCACCGCAGCCTCGACCTGCTGGGCTCCGGCGATCCTTCCGCCTCAGTCTTCCAAGTAGCTGGAATTACAGGCATGCGCTACCACGCCCAGCTGATTTTTTGATTTATTATAGAGATGAGGTCTCACTGCCCAGGCGGGTCTCGAACCCGCGGGCTCAGGCAATCCACTCACCTCAGCTTCCCAAAGGCGCGGGATTACAGGCTGAGCCACCGAGCCCAGCTCCTTTTTTTTTTTTTTTGACAAGAAAAAGTTATGTCATTCCTACTTTATTTTAAAGTTAAATTTCAGGTCCAGATATCCACATTGGTCTTTTCTACTTTTAACAACTCTGTCTTGTAGTTCCTTCTCACAGGTCTAACAAATAGTCCTGTGAGTAAAGCAAACCCACAAAGTTACTCTATGAGGCATTTCCAGCGATGTACAGGCTACAGGAAAGCCCCACTGGGATAGACCTCAACCAGATGAGTTTTCTTAAGTACGTTGACCCTTCAACAACACAGGTTTGAACTGCGGGGGTCCACTTAGATGTCTGTCTTTTTCAACCAAATAGGGAGCAAAAGTGCAATATTTGTGGAGTGCAAAATCCATGTGTATAGAGGGCTAACTGGGAGCTGAGTGTGTTTGGATGTCAGTGGAGGTTGGGGTGGGCAGTGCAGGTCCTGAAGCCCATTCCCTGCACAGACCGAGAACACCTTAGTCAGTGTGAATGTTTCATGGGTTTCTACTCTGCCTACTTGCCAACGTTTATCTGCAACCTCTAAATCAATACTGTGGTGCTTTCTCAGTCATTTGCAGGCTTGCAGAGTGGCAAGAAATTTGAGTCCCCAGATGCACATGTTCCTGGTGAGGCAGCCCTGGGCACTCCTCTAGGAACACGTCCTTCTCATGGTCCCTGCAGTGCTGTCCTGCTGTGGCGGTTCTGCATTCGCAAAGGCCTGCAGGCGAGGTGCTGAAGTGCTGTCTTGTGGCCCTCAGGGCAGGAGAACCCTGCTCTGCCTCCCGGAGCAGAGCCTGCACCAGACAAGTGTCCCCTAGGCACGGAGTCCAGTGCTTTTCGTTGGGTTCAGCGTGGCCCCGTCAGCGATACCGAACAGCTGGACGGATGAAGGAAGTGTGCCAGCCTCTGAGTGGGGCCACTGTGTGCTCCAGTAACATCTGTCGCGTGTGGTGAAGCTGTGGGAAGATGAAAGACTACCTAAGCATGTGGGTTCATGGGGTCAGGTTTTAAATAGCACAGTGAAGACCGGGTTCGGCAGAGGTCATGCACGTGTCGGGTGCGGGCCGGCCTCACAGTTCCAGATAGTGTGGTGCGAAGGGTGTTGAATTCCGAGGTGAAGTGGGTTTTGCAGAGCAGGGCGCTGTGGAAGGATACTGCCCCATGTTAGGTGGGAAGACGGTTGTAGGGCGAGTGGGTCTTCAGCATGAAGAGGCTGACTTAGTTTTACAGTGTTGCTGGCAAATGCACCTAAGAAATGCAGGTGGTTTCGACATCTGTGACTCGGACTCATTCGTGGACTTGCAGCCTTGCTGTTTGGAACCAGTGCCGAGGGCAACCTTGGGCACAAACCCTGAGGCTGTGGAGCAAAGGGTGCACCAGCACTTACAGGGAGAAACCCAGGGTGCCTGCCATTGCCAAGAAAGGCAGGAAAGAAAGCATAGATGGCGTCTGAAGCATTCTATGGTTGGCTCCACCACTGTCTCTGCAGTGAGAACTTCACCTTCATGATATTATTGCCAGACAGTGTCCCAGTCCATTGCTGTGGAGGTCTCAAATGTCCACCCCAGAACAGGTCTCCTCACGCCCCCACGCATGGTCTCTCCTGCTGCCTCTTCCCTGGGCACACCACCAAGTGGACTTCCCAGCAAGGCTTGCGAAGCTTTTGATCCCAGCAAGGATGTACTGTGATGGGCTCTGGAAGTCGGTCGTGTCATGCAACTTTTCAATTTTGGTGACAGCCTGGGGACAGCACCAAGCAGGTTGCAATCAGTAACATTGGGAAGATGGTCAGACTGAAACATGTCCGCGGCTTTGAAGGTGGTGCAGAAGTGGTAGAGAGCAGTGTTGAAGACACGTAAAACATACCACACAACAGAGGGACGTTAAGGAGGGTGCCTTCAGGGTGGAATTCTGTCTTGAGCCATTCATCAGTGAGATGGAAAGCACAACCCGATGTTGAGCACAGCCTCAGCTGCGAGCACTGCTGGGGACACATCTTGGCACCTGAGCACTGAGGCAAAAACCATGCAACAAGGCTGGCTCAGTCTTGGAGCTCTTTGCCAGGAAGGTGGCTGGCACAGTCAGCAGGGACAAGGGTCTGCCAGCTGTGGTCTTCATGGGTATGCAGGGCTGAGGGGCAGGTGGTGCAGGGTAGCCCTCCCCACACCTCCCGCCTCTCCACCCACAGGGGTGTTCTAGTGTGTTTGTTTTTTTTTTGAGTTGGAGTCTCCCTCTGTCGTCCAGAGTGGAGTGCAGTGGCCGCTCCTGGCCACTGCAGCCTCGCCTGCTGGGTGCCGGCAATCCTTCCGCCTCAGCCTTCCGAGTAGCTGGAACTACAGGCGCACGCTACCATGCCCGGCTAATTTTTTTTTGACTAATTGTAGAGATGAGGTCTCGCCAAGTTGCCCAGCTGGGTCTCGAACCCGCGGACTCAGGCAATCTACTCACCTCAGCCTCCCAAAGGCGTGGGATTACAGGCTGAGCCACCAAGCCCGGCACTAGTATGTTTTTATAAAGTTCAGGTGCTTAATTTTTGTTTAGTATTTTTTAGGACTTTACTTGTACTGAAGCACAGTACACAAAATGTGTCCACAGTGTTGTGTTAACTGTGTGTGAGTGCTGTGCTGCAGAGTCCCTAGCCCATGGCCTGCTAGGATCCGGGCTAGCCAGCAGGAAGTGAGCAGTGGTCAGCAGAGCTCCGCCTTCTGTCAGATCCGTGGCGACGTTCGATTCTCATAGGACGTGAACCCTAGTTGTGAACTATGTGTGTGAGGGGTAGAGGGTGCGACTCCTCATGAGAATCTTGTGTCTGATAATCCCCACCTCCCATCCCCGGCACGTGGAAAAATTATTTTTCACAAAACTGGCCCCTGATGCCATAAAGGTTGGGGACCGCCATTGTTCAGTGTACTGAGTGAGTGTGATGCATGGTGTGTGTTTGCTGTGTGAGTGTGACATGGTATGTGTGTGCTGTATGAGCGACATACGGTGTGCATGTGCTATGTGAGTGTGACGTTACGGTGTGTGTGTGCGCTCTATGTGTCTCCTGCATGTCCGACTGAGTTGAGGAGTCCATAGTCTTGGTATAGCAGTGTACATCACACAAAACTATGTTGAAACATTGTTTGCTATAAAAGAACACACTGCCCAGAGGGTCTTGAGCAAGGTTGTGTGTTGGCAAGTTGTGGCCAACGCTGCCTGGAGCTGTGCCTGTTGCTCCCTTGCAGCAGTGTCTCACGACACGCTAGTTCAGTGTTGGGGACATGCTGATGTCTGTCAGTAGGTGATGTGGGGAGTGCCTTAACTTTAGTCTATCCTCTTAGCTCTTCCGTTTACTGCAGATTTTATGTGGATTTTTGTGTTGTTTTCAAATGCAAACAATGCTGTAGTGACCCTAGCGTAACATCCAATAGACTGCATCTGTAGGACAGGTGTCAGAAGGTGCAGTTGCCAGGCCCCAGGAAACATGCGACTTAAAGACTGACTCTTGTAGTCACACTTGTTCGTTGTTTTTAATCTTTTCAAATTTAGTGTCATAGTTTAAGCCATGTATCCAGTAGGGGGAGCTAGAGTATCAGATGACCATAATAACTGCGAGAGCTTTTTTTCTAATATATATTTAAAAGAGCCTAATTTTCACAGGTAAACTTTGTAACCTTGATATTGTACTCAGAAGTGAGGGCTGGCCTTTCATATTTTTCTAAAACATTTTGATGGAATCCTTTGAAGGTGGCACACATCTAGAATGAATGATTCTTCCTACTTTGCCAGTGGTTGGGTAGTTTAACCAGGATCCTTCTAGATTAAGATCGTGGTGAACATAGTAATAATAGCCTGATTGGGATAGACACGTCCACTTTTGTGTGTTTCCTTCTTAGGACTTGCAAACCAGATATTTGTTAGTACCAGGAAGTAACGAAAATTAGAAGCAGATATAAAAATATTTCTCTTTTTTCTTCTTTCTAGGGCTCAGCACCACCCCCTTCTCCAACACCTAACAAAGAGATGAAGAACAAAGCAGTTCTTTGCAAACCTTTAACAATGACAAAAGCTACTTATTGTAAACCTCACATGCAGACCAAATCTTGTCAGACAGGTAACTTAGGAAAACTTGACTTATTCTCTATACTTACATCTCACTTAGTAAAATACTTACTTTTCTCGAACAACAGGCTACAGAAAAGATTTGTTTGGTCAGTTTGTCATTTTCTGTTGATTTTGCTTCTCTAAGTTTAGATGTTACCTGGACAATACAGCATATTATTTTGAACCATTGATGATCACTCAGTCTCTGATAAAGGCATAGAATACAAATTATGTCAAAAGTGAGAAAATACTGTAACAATTTTCTTGGGACTAAGAACTTCTGAAATTACAGTGTTTCCTCTGAGAAAATCCTTTTTCCATGTGGTTGGTAATGGTAACAATTGTGTTTTCCTTCCTGTCAGAATGAGATAAAAGAATTCAAATGTGTATTTTCTTTTTCTTTTCTTTTTTTTTTTGAGTTGGAGTCTCACTCTGTCGCCCAGACTGGAGTGCAGTG